TATCCAAAATACATAAAGAACTCATATAACTCAATAACAAAAATAAGTAAATAAATAACCCAATTAAAAAATGTGTGGAGTACCTGAAGAGACATTTTTCCAGAGAAGACATACAGATGGCCCACAGGCACATGAAAAGATGCTCCACAGAACTAATCATCAAGGAAGTGCAAATCAAGACCCTAACGAGATACCACCTTACAGGTGTCGGAATGGCTGTTATCACAAAGACAAGACATAACAAGCGCTGACCAGGATGTGGAGAGAAAGGACCCCCTTGTGCACTGCTGGTGGGGCTGTAAACTGCCACAGCCACTAGAGAAAACAGTATGGAGGTTTCTCAAAAAATTAACAACTGAAGCACCATGCATCCCTCTTTGGGTATTTATCCAAAGAAAGCAAAAACACAAATTCAAAAAGATGTAGGCACCCCCATGTTCATGGTAGCATTATTTACAACAGCCAAGATAGAGAAGCAACCTACGTGTTTATTGATAAATGAATAAATAAAGAGATGCAGTGCATCTACAATGGACTATTACTCGGCCATAAAAAAGAATAAGATCTTGCCATTTGTGACAACAGAGAAAGACCTGGAGGGTATTATTATGCAAAGTGAAAGAAGCCATACAGAGAAAAAGAAATACTGTATAATTTCACTTACATGTGGAATCTAAAACAAACAAACAAAATGAAACACAAAGTGACTCACAAATACAGACAACAAACTAGTGGTTGCCAGAAGGGAGGGAGTTGGGGGAATGGGAGAAATAGGCAAAGGGGATTAAGAGTTACAAACCTCCAGTTATAAAATAAGCAAGTCAGGGGAATATGATGTATAGCATAGGGGAACAGTCAGTAATATTGTAATAACTTTGTACGGTGACAGACAGTAACTAAACCTATCAAGATGATCGTTTCATAATGTATAAAAACACAGAATCACTGTGTTGTATAACTGACACTAATATAACATTGTATGTCAACTACAAATCAATAAAAAAAAAAAAGGAACAACAGTGAAAAATAACGTGGTGGAAGCAACCCCAAAGTCATCAACTGATGAATGGATAAACAGTGGCCTATCCGTAAAATGGAGGAGTATTCAGGCACTACAGAATCCAAGTACTGAAACAAGGTATAATATGACGAATCTTCAGAACATTTTGCTAAATCAAAGAAGCCAATCACAAAAGACCACACAGCATGTGATTCCATGAGAAGTCTAGAACCGGCAAATCTAGCAGACACAGTAGATTCATGGCTGTTTAAGGCTGCGGGGGGTGGGGACAGGCAAATAGATGGGTGATAGCTAAAGGGTATAGGATTTCTTTGGGGGTGAATGAAAATGTTCTAAAGCTCATGTTGGGGATGGTTACAAACACGAAAGACCATTCAATTGCCTAATCTGAATGGGTAAATTATATGGTACATGGGCTGTTTCTCAATAAAGCCGCTTTTTAAAAAAATATTCTTAATCTGACTTTAAAAATGCGAGATGTCCATTATCAAATTTAGATTAATAAAGGTAAACAAAAAGAAGAAAGTAAAAATAAGCTTTTAGGGAAACACACAGATAACATATTTATCGAAGCCAAGTATTCTGTGACCTAACTTTTAATAGCTACATAGATTACATATGACAGTACTATGACTTATTTAACTAAATCTCTTTCATAGGATGTTTACAACTGCACTGTCCAATGCAACAGACACTAGTCACAAGTAGCTATTTATTTTAATTAAAAGTAAATAAAATTTAAATGCAGTTCTACCACTGTACTAACATTTCCAGTGCTCAACACCATATGCATTTAGTGACACCTGTGGATAGCACAGAAATAGAACATTTTTCTCATTACAGAAAGTTCTATTGGACAACACTGCTTTAGAATGTTTCCAAGTTGTTCCTATTACAAATAATGTCAAAGTTATTGTAAAAAAAAAACTGTGTGTCTGTGTGTGTATGTACACATGTGCAAATTTCCTAGAAATGAGTCACTGGTTCAAAGCGAATACAAATTTTCAGTTTTTAAAGCTCTGGGTACAGGGATATGTCCATTTCCTTTATTAATTTAATAGATAAAGAATAGTGTCTTCTGTTTAAAAGCTGCACTGAGAATCACTATGTGATTCAACTAATACAGTTGACCCTTCAGCAAACGAATTGCATGGGCCCTTTACATGCATATTTTTTTCATTACGGTATAGTACTGTAAATGTATTTTCTATTCCTTATGATTTTCTTAATATTTTATGTAGCTTACTTTATTGTAAGAATATTACATACAACAGGGGCGCCTGGGTGGCTTAGTCGGTTAAGCGTCCGACTTTCGCTTAGGTCATGATCTCAAGGTTCGTGGGTTCGAGCCCAGAGTCAGGCTATGTGCTGACTGCCAGCTCAGAGCCTGGAGACTGTTTCAGTCTGTGACTCCCTCTCTCTCTGACCCTTCCCTGCTCACGCTGTCTCTCTCTCTCCTAGAAATAAATAAACATATAAAAAAAAAAAAAAGAATATTACATACAACATTTGTGTTAATCAACTGTTTATGTTACTGGTAAGGCTTTTCAATCAACTACCAGGCTCTTGGTGGTTAAGTCTTTGGGTGGGAGTCAAAAGTCATACACACATTTTCGACTATACCCCTAAATCCCACGTTGTTCAAAGGTCAACTGTGTAATATTGTATGTCAACTACACTTCAATAAAATAAATAAAAGTTGCATTGATTTGATTAGGGTGGTGGTGAAGTAGGAAAAGAGGGACAAAGATCTCTGGTGACCAATCCATGGAGATGTTACAAATAGGGTGCCAAAGAGGGCAGTGTTTGCAAATTCTACTAGAGTAGCACCAGTCTGTACAGAAAGGGGTGCCAGTACATCACACTGTCTCCACCATAGATCTTCAGTAACACCACTTTTAGGGTTAAAAATGAACATCTGTTTGTTGTCCATTTGTGTTGTTTTTTCATGAACCAATTTTTCTCAGTGTATTTTTCTACTGAGAATGATCACCTTTTTTATGATCTTATAAGAGTTCTTGATCTAGAGAGGATATGAAAACTCTGCCTTCCAAATACAATTAAATGTATTTCCTTAGCTTGTTATTTGCCTTTCCTATGAAACATAAGAGATTAACGGTTAGGTAGTAAAAGCTGGTTCCTTTTTCTTTACAGAGAAGGTTTTCCTGATTACAAACAAACAATAATAAAATTCTGTAGTAATTTTATGTTGGTATTTTTACAGTTCAAGTTAAGCTATACCTTATAGAACATACACTGGCATATGACCTAAAGAAGGATCTGAACATAATTTTTCCCGATGTAGAATATTCCCAAATCTTAATAAAATTCCAAGGGGGAGTTTTATTAAATGTACTTTAGAACTTTAATAAAATTCACCCAAGTTGCTAAGCAGACATCCAAACCAGTCATCCTTTTCTGGAATAAGAAAAGCATATTTTTATATTTTAGCAATGCTGCCCTTGGGGTTTTGTTTTATCCAAAAAGTATCATCTCCACTCAGTAGAGGCACAGATCTTGTATTTTCCTCAAAATAAAGAGAAAAATGAGCTACATGTAAAGAATTCAGAAGAGGAAAAAAAAAAAAAACAGAAGAGCAGCCAAAGACTGAGATTTATTCCCAGATCCATGAAAGACATAACTGTATTGACCAACGCGCTTTCCTTTCACAAAATAAAGGACAATTTCCTCGAGAGGAACCCCCAGAATTCCATGACAAATGTTTTCTTACTCTTGGTAGCAAACACTAGCATAATTTCTCACTGACAGATTATACATTATTTTCCATATGTAAAATTAAGTGATTGTTATTTTCACCTCCTTTTTTATGATTTCACTATGATTTTATTAGTCTCAAAAATAACCCAACTATGTTATACCAGGGGTTACACCTTCTACTCTTTGTGCTAGTTTTCCTATCTTGTAAGACAGAATACCATTGAGAAACCTGTATTTTATTTCAATTATGCAAGTTCCATGTTTGCAAGTAAACATTTATTATTTTTTAAAAAACCGATTCCTTCAAAGATCAATTCTAAAGCTTTAAACAATCACCCTCTCATCAAACAAATTACTGTCTCCTCACTGCGGAGGCTCCTTCTGCCAGTCTCATATCACAACTGGTTCATGCCTCTACTGTAACACTATTTGCACTATATTCCAACTGCAACTACTTTTAAGTGAGTCTGCTTCCCCTGCTCGCCTGGGAGCTCCCTGAACTCAGACCAAGTTCCACATGGTCGTCCTCATGTCCAGTTTCATCCAAGCATTGGGCACAGAGCCTAATAAATAAGACCCTGATAACTTCTGTTAAAATACTAGACAAAGCTTGTCCAAGAGCAACTGCCCCCGCCTTTCTAATCATTTAAGATCCTCATTTGGGGGCGCCTGGGTGGCTCAGTCGGTTAAGCATCCATCTTCGGATCAGGTCATGATCTCGCGGTTTGTGGGTTCAAGCCCCGTGTCGGGCTCTGTGCTGATAGTTCGGAGCCTGGAGCCTGCTTCACATTCTGTGTCTCCCTTTCTCTGCCCCTCCCCCAATCACATTCAGTTTCTCTCTCTCTCAAAAATAAATAAACATTTAAAAAAATTTTTTTTAAAAGATTCTCATTTGTCCTTCATATTCCTTTAATAAATACCTATCCAAAGCAATGCTCTTATTTACATGAAACTATGGTTTATAAATAGGGGCACCTTTTTTTTTCTTTTTTGCAAAGGCCACTCTATTTTTAACAAAGTACTTCCACACACATGGAATAAAATACTTCCTGTGACACACGTTATTGGTGTTTCAGTTTACAAGCAGAAAAACGGAAGCGACAAAAGATTACGAATTTGCCAAAGGTAACAGCACTGGCAGATCACAGGGTTAGAAGCTAAGGGATTCCAACTATGCGCGTGGTGGACTTTCCACTGCATCCAGCGAGTTTTAAGACAAGTAACCTTTTAACATAGTATCGGCTGTACCAGAAATACTTACACTGACCCCAGCGACCTGTTCTTGGGTTCAAATAATTTGGATAAAGACCATTTGGACGATCCATTTTCTGAAGTAGTTTCCGAATATGCATGACCTTAAGAAAAACAAAGAATGCGATTAATAAATGTCATCTAGGCTTTGTGGTTCTTCCTCACTCAGAACCTACACCAACTCCCCTGTGTGTGTGTATGCATATTTGTGTGTGTGTGTGTGTGTGTGTGTGTGTGTGTGTGTGTGGTGGTGGTGGTGGTGGTGGTGGTGGTGGTGGTGGTGGTCAGGAAAGGCTTCTACTTTATAAATGATTCATTATTTTTACCAGATGATATACCAACAATTTAAAATATGAAGAGCACAGAAAAAAACCAATTTAAATGCCAACATTTTAGTATCCAGAAACAACCACCAGAAACATTGGTGATAAACATCATTCCAGACACATTCAATATGTACATATCCAAATACAAAAACAGAAATAATTTCATAGAAATGGAATCATAAAAGGACATCTGTAATAAAAAGTATGAAACAAATTTGAATTTAATAGTTGAAAAAGTAAACTAAATTAGTGAACTGTAAATATTGATCCCAAAATAGATATCCTGAAAATTCCTAAAATCCCAAAAATTCTGATTCGTAAAAATCACCCTAAAGCTAAAGAGGAAAAAAAAATCACAAAAATATATTAAGGAGCTAGAAATGTCCTCAGGGACTTTATCTACATTTATGTATAGACTGGATGGATTTTGAGAGCACTTTCAAAAAAAAGCACAATGTATTCTATTCCCTGTATTCTTATTTGTTTAAGAATGTTCTTTTTACCTCTGAAGGATAACCTGCTCAGTATGCATGACTGAAACACCTTCACAGAACTTTATATATACTTCATTATTTCCTGGGCTTGAGCACAGCACAAATCCTGTTAGGACAATGTCCCCAGTCATCTTTCATTTGGCTGGACTTGGTCACCAAGCAGGTTTAGGAGCCAGCTCAGGGATGGCGTGTCATCTGGGTTCCTTCAAGGCCGAAGCCAGCTCTATGTACAATCCCAATCTGAATGACTCTGTGAACCAGAATTAGTCACTTTGAAATGATGCCCTTCGGGAAAATAAGATATTACCTTCCTTTGTCTTTTGAAAATTAGGTATACACTGAATCCTCTCTGCCTCTGTCATGGCTGCCTTTCCTTTCTGAATCTTTCCATCCATTTCTTTTTTAACGTCTATACTATACTAGCTTGTCTCAATTTTGTCTTCTAAGTGCATCATTGTATTCTGAACACTTCGTTTGTACTGCTTCCAATTTGGCTTTCATTTCTGGTGATCACTTTTTGTTGTAATTTGTTACTGACAGCACATCTCTGAGCACTCTATTTCTGTTGCTACATTTGTTTTACAGAGAGGAGGGCTTGTTTGGTCAGGATTTAATTGCTATTTTCTGAGAAGTATTTTTTGGGCATCTCCTATATATCCTGTTCCTTCCCCCCCCCCTTTTTTTTCTGATAATATATTTTTGTATAAATTCTATGCTTGTTCTTTCTGATGAATTACTCATTACTATTTTCCTTGAACCAGCTATTCTCGCAAGGGTGACATAAAAGGCCAGGAAGAGTTTGGATACTTTTGCTTCTCCCCAGATAACCGAGACTAGCAATGCAGCACTGCTCATAAAAGAAAATGTGTCCTCATACTCTTCCCTCACCGAAATTTCCTCAGAATTCTGTTATCCTAGCTTCTCAACACACCTTAGTAGGATTCAAAGAAGCACCCACCGTCAGCCCGTGACCTGCTCTCAATGCTGCTAATGAGAACTTTGGTTCTGTACCTCTAGAAATACCATTGGTTTTACAGGACTGTGCTCTTCTGGCCTTTTGTTCTTGAAACTTGCAGCCACAAATATCCTCTCGTTTCCCAAACCACTGTGCCCTTGATTATTTATGGCAACCTTTCTTCCTAGTTGACGTGAAATATCAAGTATCTCTTAATTTTGTTAAAAAGGGAGTATACAGTTCTTTTTCTCCTTTGCGTACTTTTAGGTGATTCCTATGTGTAAGATCCTCTACGTCAGAAATACCAGAGGCCAGAATGTCTTCATTTTACAAATGTATCACTTTAAATCTCTTCACATGCTTTTTCTTGGTTTCTACTAGAATTGTCTCCTGCTTTTCCATGTTAGTAAATCGGTTTTCAATTAAGTAAAGTCACTTCTTTGTTGTTTTTCATTGATCTATTCATTACAGAAATATAATGTTTAAGGCCTCAATTTGTTTCTTTAGTTCTACCATCGTTTTGTATCATTTTATTATTTGTGTTGAGTAATAATTTTCCTGGGTTCAACTGCTACTATAGTATAAATTACTCATGGTGACTTACTTTCATGGTGAAGCTTGAAACTGGTTTATCAGTCTTGTACACGCCATTTACCACCATGCTTCTGTTACTGCCATGTTGCAGTTTGTTTGCATACTTGCCATGTTCTCCCTCTGCATCCTGCTCACTTTTAACAAAGTTGGCTCTGACTTGAACTTTGGTTACGTACGTGACAGCTGCATTGTCCCTGAATTCCTTCCTACTGTGTGTGCAGGGAGAGGGGACCATTCCTTCCCTCCCGGACACAATTCGAGATCTGGAGTACTAGTGTTCAAGGAGGGTGGAGGCCAAAACCCTCTGGAGCTGTGCACAGTTGAGTCCTCAACACCCTGGGCACTGGTCTCCCCTGGGAGATTAACGGGGAGTACCAGGAGTCTGATGACTTGGTTTCTTTGCCCAGTAAGGATTGAGGACAAGGTGGGACACAGACTTAAGTACCATTCCAGAAACTTTTTGCTTTTTTGGAGGGGGAGGGAGGCTCTTACATGCTTATGACATGAGATTGCAGCCTTTCCCCCTTTCACTGATGGTGATAAATATTTGCAGGTCTTCGCTATTTTTGCCACTGTTGTTGATCTCATCAGGAAAGGAAAAACCCTGTGGTCTGGGTCCAGCAGTGGTCCAGAATTTTCTTTACTGAAAATTCTTCTCAACTGATGAAACAGTTCATATACAGAAAGGAATATATACAGATTATACTCGCATCCCAATTTAAGAAATACACTTCTAAACACACCTTTGCTGCTCTCTTTATGCATTCACACAGTACTGTCTTTGTACTGGCTATATTCACAGTCCTGAGTTTTATGTTCATCACTATCTTAACTCTATTAAAATCACTTCTGAAAACCTAAACGAAATATATTATTCAGCTCTGCTTGTTTTAAACTTCTTAAAAAAATTGTATCATATTCTTTTAATTGATAAATATAACTATACTTCTTCTTACAGCCATACTGAATTTTATTATATGAACTGCTGATACAAATGATGCTTCTATGTACAATATGATGTAAACGTACACATCAAAGAGTGGAATTGCTGGATCACAGGGTGCATGTATTTTCAACTTTACTAGATTTATCTTTTAAATGTAAGCCTTTAATGCTCCTCAAATTGTTATAATCTGCCACACTGCCCCTGTCATAATATTTCCACATATATGGACCTATTTAAGGAACATTTATTCTGTTCATCAGTCTATCTGTCTTTATGCACCAACACTTCCCCCATGAGTGTCGATGTGGATAATGCAAATCCACTCTGCATTTCCCTTCTATATAAATTCTAGAAGAATCTTGTCAAGTTTCATTTTTTTTTTAAAAAGAAGCCATTGGAGTTCTAACTGGCACTCAATTAACGCTACAGATCAAGCTGGAGAAGACTATACCGTTTAGCTATACATGAACATAATATCCTTCTCCATTTATTTAGGTCCTCTTCAATGTCATTCAGGTGTTTTGAATGATCTCACAGTTCATGGGTTCGAGCCCCGCGTAGGGCTCTGTGCTGACAGCTCAGAGCCTGGAACCTGCTTCAGATTTTGTGTCTCCCTCTCTCTCTGACCCTCCCCTGCTCACGCTCTCTCTCTCTCTCTCTCTCTCAGAAATAAATAAAAACATTTAAAAAAATTTAAAGTGATACTTTCTTGCCGACTGTAGTTGGTGCAGAAAAAGGCTGGTGACTTTTCATAACTATATTGATCTTTTATTCAAAACTATAAATATGCTCTTATTTCTAATAGTTTATAGATTAATATTTAAGGTAGTAAGCATGTAATCTGTGAATAATTACTCTTTTCTTTCTTCCTTTTCAATCCAATTCAATTCTTTAACTGTCTGTTCATTTTGTTTTTCTTGTTTTACCATGTTGGCCAGGGATACTGCAACACAGTGCTGAATAGAGATGGCAACGGAATTTTTAGAAACCTACTAGTGGTTAAGCATTTCAAATAACAGTTAATATTTTAAAGAGAATGGACATTTCTTTAGATAACTTAAAGAGAAAAAAAGGGGCAGAGTACTGACACATACCTTTCTGGAAAGGCAAACGCTTTCCAACCATCAATCGTTCAGTAAATCTTAAAGAATTCTTTTATAATAAACAAAGAAGAAGAGGCGAGAAAACTGACCTTTCTGTAGTAGACGGGGTCCCCTGTCAGGTAGCTGAGGTGGACAAACTCCATGTGCAGGGTGCCGAACTCAGCGAGAATACTGCTCCCTGCCGACGCCCAGCCCCAGTTCCGCCCCACGCCACTGAGTGACAGCAAAGGGAAAAGGAGGCAGAATTGGAAAAAGAACAAAACATTTGTTTAATGAATAGATAAGCTTTAATTCTTTTAGAAGTTATTATATCTAACACAATAGCTTATTTATGTCTAAGTTTATTATTTAAAATTTTTTGAATAGGTAATATAGCCACATGTTTTAAAAATCGAAACAATATAGAAAGGTATAGAGTAAGTAGATTTCATCCCTGAAATCTCATGTGTCTTCACCCTATCAGGCCCCACGGATAATCACTTTCGTTAGGTTCTTATGTATTACTACAGCATTTTTGTGCCTGTACCAGCAGTCCAAATATCTATTATCTCTTCCTCTATTAAACAAAATACAGCAAAGTATACAGACTGCACTGTATCTTGCATTTTACTCTAAGATACACTGCAGTGGTCATTCCATAATTGGTTCATAAACAATTTTCTCATTTGTTTAAAACAACTGCACATAGCCGTGTGTATGCAGATAAAAACCATATGATCCTGTCAATAGATGCAGAAAAAGCATTTGACAAAATACAGCATCCCTTCTTAATAAAGACTCTAGAGAAAATCGGGATAGAAGGAACCTACTTAAACATCATAAAAGCCATCTATGAGAAGCCTTCAGCTAACATCATCCTCAACGGGGAAAAACTGAGAGCTTTCCACCTGAGATCAGGAACACGGCAGGGCTGTCCACTCTCACCATTGTTGTTTAACATAGTGCTGGAAGTCCTAGCATCAGCCATCAGACAACAAAAGGAAATCAAAGGCATCAGAATTGGCCAAGAGGAAGTCAAAGTTTCACACTTCGTAGATGACATGATACTCTACATAGAAAACCCAACAGACTCCACCAGAAGCCTAGTAGAACAGATCCAAGAATTCAGCCAAGTTGCAGGGTACAAAATTAACCTACAGAAATCGGTTGTATTTTTATACACCAATAATGAAGCAACAGAAAGAGAAATCAAGAAACTGATCCCATTCACAATTGCACAAAAAACCATAAAATACCTCGGAATAAACCTAACCAAGGATACAAGAGATCTGTATGATGAAAACTATAGAAAACTTATGAAGGAGATTGAAGAAGACACAAAGAAATGGAAAAACATTCCATGCTCATGGATAGGAAGAATAAATATAGTTAAGATGTCATTACTACCCAAAGCAATCTACACATTCAACGCAATTCCAATCAAAATTGCGCCAGCATACTTCTCAAAACTAGAACAAACTATCCTAAAATTTGTATGGAACCACAAAAGACTCCAAATAGCCAAAGTAATACTGAAAACTAAAACTAAAACGGGAGGCATCATCATCCCAGACTTTAGACTCTAATACAAAGTTGTCATCATCAAGACAGTATGGTATTGACACAGAAATAGACACATAGACCAATGGAATCAAATTGAAAACTCAGGGCTGGACCCAAAGGTATACAGCCAATTAATCTTTGACAAAGCAGGAAAGAATATCCAATGGAAAAAAGACAGCCTTTTTAACAGATGGTGTTGGGAGAACTGGACAGCAACATGCAGAAGAATGAAACTAGATCATTTTCTCACACCATGCACAAAAATAAACTCAAAATGGATAAAGGACCTGAACGTGAGACAGGAAACTATCAACACCCTAGAGGAGAAAGCAGGAAACAACCTCCTTGACCTCCACCGCAGCAACTTCTTACTTGACACATCCCCAAAAGCAAGGGAATCAAGAGCAAAAATAAACTGTTGGGACCTCATCAAGATTAAAAGCTTCTGCACAGCCAAGGAAACAACCCAGAAAATTAATAGGCAACCAACGGAATGGGAAAAGATAGTTGCAAATGACATATCAGATAAAGGGTTAATATCCAGAATCTATAAGGAACTCACCAAACTACACGCCCGAAAAACAAACAACCCAGTGAAGAAATGGGCAGAAGACATGAACAGACACTTCTCCAAAGAGGACATCCAGATGGCCAACAGACACATGAAACGATGCTCAGCATCCCTCCTCATCAGGGAAATACAAATCAAAACCACACTGAGATACCACCTCACGCCAGTCAGAGTGGCTAAAATGAGCAAATCAGAGAACTCTAGATGCTGGCGAGGATGTGGAGAAACGGGCACCCTCCTACACTGTTGGTGGGAATGTAAACTGGTACAGCCCCTCTGGAAAACAGTGTGGAGGTTCCTCAGGAAACTAACAATAGAACTCCCCTATGACCCAGCAATAGCACTGCTAGGAATTTACCCAAGGGATACAGAAATGCTGAGGCATAGGAGCACATGTACCCCAATGTTCATAGCAGCACTCTCCACAATAGCTAAAACATGGAAAGAGCCTAAGTGTCCATCAACAGATGAATGGATCAAGAAGATGTGGTTTATCTATACCATGGAATACTACATGGCAATGAGAAACAATGAAATCTGGCCATGTGTAGCAACATGGATGGACCTTGAGGGTGTTATGCTGAGCGAAATAAGTCAGGCAGAGAAGGACAAATATCATATGTTTGCACGTATAGGAGGATTAGGAGGAACTTGACGGAGGAACAAGGGGGAGAAGAAGGGCGGAAATGGTGGGGGAAAGGGAGAGAGGCAAACCATGAGAGACTCTTGAATGCTGACAAAAACTGAGGACTGATGGATGTGGGGGGGAGGGGGGATGGGCATGGAGGAGGGCACTTGTGGGGATGAGCACTGGGTGTTATGTGGAAACTAATTTGACAATAAACTATTTGTAAAAAAATTTTTAAAAATTAAAAAATAAAAATATTTTTAAAAAGAAAAAAAAAATAAAACAACTGCACAGAATTCTAGGACACTGATGATTTTCAGTTGGAATGCCCCACCCCAGAGGCACAGGAAAATGTGTGAGAGGATTCGAGTTGTATCAAACCTTGAAGGTACAGTTTACACTCACTACGCTGGGGCCAAAGACATAGCATGTCCAAGAGTGGTTATGTCAGTGTCAGACGATAAAGAGCTGTCCTGCCCCAAACACTGACATACTTGTGTAAAAAACACAAGTATTACACGAACATAATTTAATCAATCCTCTGTTGGTGGTCCTTTAGCATTTTTCAAATATTTTGCTATTAATAAAACATCTACAGTGAACAATCTTATGTATATTTCTTTTGTGCATATATAGTTCTAGGGTATCTAGAAGGTATCCTGCTTTTTCCAGCCTGCCTTGTAATTTATTGGAACCTACACTATATAAATGAAAAAGCACAGACACTTTAAACACTATAAGTCTTTCTAAAGGTTAAGTTCCTTCTGAAACACAGGTTGAGGGCAGACAGGCTACTCAAGCTTTAGGCTTTAAGGGGAGTCTATGTCCACTTTACCTCTTTTTCTAGGGAGTGCCGTCTGGGACCGCAGCTGGAAGCCTGGGGTGTTAACCAGGACCCTGTACCTTGGCCACCTTAAACACGAATTTCTTTCTCCCTAGTACCATGTGGCTGCTAAATTTCTTTCTTTGCCCTTTAGCCTCCAGCTACTATTTTCTGCTGAGTTTCCTTGAGTCTTGCCCCACGCACGTAAGTTACAGGATCAGTCAACATTTGAGGGAAATGTGTTCAAAAACTGTTGGCCTTTTGCTCTGCAATTCCTTCCTGTCTTGAGATTTTGTCCCACCTGCCTAAGCCGCCCTGGCAACTCTAAGACCTGAGCAGAGTCTCTTCTGCCCCAAATGACCACCACTTGAGGATTGGCCTCTCGGCCCACACCATGATTTAGAACATGTCCTCAGGGAAAAAGCCAACGCTTATATTGACATGACCTTCTCCTAGAAGTCCTCCCTGAGTTAGCTGCTCCAATTCCATCAAACCACTTTGTTTAGCTGTTATGATTGGTTTTGTTATGGGAGGATTGGTCTGATAGAAGCTCTTTCATGGTGGAACAGGAAATCTAGGCTAATTATCCAGGTAGCAGCATTCATGGATTATCCCTATGAGAACTCTAAACCAGTCTCCAGGGTCTTTTCAACTTTTAGGAGGAAGTAAAAATATCAATCTTTCTCTTAGTTTATATCCATTTGTATGCTCACAATTTGATACCTCATTATTATTTATCTGTCTTGAGAAAACATTAAAATAGATAAAGTTCTTTAATTATTTGGTGCTATTTTCATATTGTCTTTGAAAATATGCTAGGAAAACACCACAGATTTTTGTGTGGCCTAGAAGTGAGAATCGAAGAAGAAATACAAATACAGTAAACTACACAGAAGAGTCATTCATTCCCAATATTAAGTGCCTACACAGAACGTTTCTGCTCCTACACTAAATAAGATAATTTTACACAGCGACAATTATAACTAAGAAAATTTCACAGAGAAACAAAATACTGAGTAGTAGTGATAGAAGGGAAGTTAAAAGAAAGGTTCTTTATATATAGTGTTCATCGAAACTGTTTCTGAAATGACACAATTCGCACCAAAACCTACGTTAAGAGAAGGAGCCAGTGATGAATGGATCCGGAAGAAGAGAAGTCCCAGTAGAGGAAACAGCAAATGCAATGACCCTGAGGAAATGGAAGGTGGCCGGTGTGTCCAGAGCTCAGGAAAGGGAAGCGAATGATACGGTATGAGCTTAGACGGCTAGGTAGAGTCCCAACTACACAAGAATTCTGTGAAGGCCAGGCTAAATTTAAAAAATTTTATTCTTAGTGTAATGGAAAGTCACAGAGGATTTTAGGAAATATAACATCACATTTAAGGAATAAAGCATACCATTTGGAAAGATTACCTAGGCATCAGCGTGGTGAATGGATTGCAGTGTGGTCAAGTATAAACACAGAGTCCCCAGGAAGTCTAACAACATCCTCTTCCCTACAAAAACTTTCTGCTACAGGTCCCAACTTTGAGTGCACTTCATTCAAGTGCCTTTAAACCCTTTTCAAAGCACTAAGTTCTAAACAAGATTTTTCACGTGCTTTATACCCAACCTCACAGGAACAATCCAAAATATTAAACTTGATATCT